GCTCCGGCGATCCTTCCACCTTAGCCTTCCAAGTAGCTGGAACTACAGGCGCGCGCTACCACGCCCGGCTAATTTTTGATTTATTGTAGAGATGGGGTCTCGTCAAGTTGCCCAGGCAGGTCTCGAACCCGCGGACTCAGGTAATCAACTCACCTCGGCCTCCCAAAGCACTGGGATTACAGGCTGAGCCACCGAGCCTGGCTTTTTTTTATATTTTTTTGAGTTGGAGTCTCTGGTGCCCAGACTGGCCACCACAGTCTCAACCTGTGGGGCAAGACCTGCTGGGCTCCAGCGATCCTTCCACCTCAGCCTTCCAAGTAGCTGGAACTACAGGCATGTGCTACCACGCCCGGCTAATTTTTTTTTTTTGAGTTGGAGTCTCACTCTGTCGCCCAGACTGGAGTGCAGTGGCATGCTCCCGGCCACCGCAGCCTCAACCCGCTGGGCTCCGGCGATCCTTCCGCCTCAGCCTTCCAAGTAGCTGGAACTACAGGCGCTTGCTACCATGCCCAGTTAATTTTTGATTTGTTGCAGAGATGAGGTCTCGCCAAGTTGCCTGGGCTGGTCTCGAACTCGCAGGCTCAGGCAATCCACTCTCCTTGGTCTCCCAAAGTGCTGGGATTACAGGCTGAGCCACTGAGCCCAGCCTAAACTCTGCTTTAAAACTTTAATGAAAGGGCAATCCCTTTGGGCTCCCTCCCACTGTGGGAGCTTTTCTGTCCTCTCAATAAATCATGCTTTCTCAAAAATAAAATAAAAATAAGAATAAAACTTGAAAAAAAAAAAGATACAGAGTATGTTCAGCACCCCAACAGCCCCCTCATGCCCTTCCAGTGTTTACTGCCATCTAGACTGTGTTCACCATAGTCTAGTTTTGCTGGCTTGTGAATTCTACATAAGTGGAAGCATGCATCACATACATACATGATGCACTTCTTTGTATACACGCTTTCCCTCAAAGTTCCATCTGTGAGCTTCATCCATGAATGTTGAATCAGCTCAGTCATGTCTCATCCTCAGGAGATGGGTTCCAAGACCCCACTTAGATACCAAACTCCATGGATGCTCAAGTCCCTTAAAGTCAGCCCTCCATGTCTGTCTGCAGGTTCTGAGTCTAGGGTTGATGGACTCTGCAGAAACAGAACCATGGGTAGAGAGAGTGAATTGTAGTTTATTCATTCTTCTGGTGTTTAGTATTTCATTTGTGATATACTCCAATGTGATATACTCTATTCTGCTGTTGATGGACATTTGTGTTGTTTTCTAGGTTTTAATTATTATGAACAAAGCAGCTGTGAATGTTCTTGTATATGTGATTTGGTGGCTGTAAGCACTCGTGTGTGGGGAATAAACCCACAAGTGGGGTTGTTAGGTCACTGGGACACACATCTATTTAGCTTTAGTAGGTACCACCAAACTTTTCCCCAAAGTGGATGTACTCAGAGCCACTGCTGCTCCCACCAGCAATGTAAGAGAGGTCCACATTTTCCCACATTCTATTTTTTTTTTTTGAGTTGGAGTCTCACTCTGTCGCCCAGACTGGAGTGCAGTGGCCACTCCCAGCCACCGCAGCCTCACCTGCTGGCTCCGGTGATCCTTCCGCCTCAGCTTTCAAGTAGCTG